GTCTTTATTTTACAGTTAAAATATATGTTTATCAAATCAAGACTAATGTTACAACTAAACGTGGATCCCTTTAACAAGTCAAAGGACTCAAAAACACTTTAGAGTCATTCACCCAGTCAAACACACATTCACACACTGATTGTGCTACATTGTAGCCACAGCTACAGGCCGGCGCCACCTGGTCCTCTGACCACAGCAGGCAAGGTGGATGAAGCGTCTTCCCAATGACACAACAACTGAGGCAGAGAGAGAGGGGTTCGAACTGGCCACCCACTGATTACAGGACAAACTCCTGCCTCCTGTTGCTCCATTTTAATGTCATTTATTTACCTTTTGCAAGTTGTCTTTGAACTAAATGATTTTTTTTATGTCAGTGGAAAAAAAATGAGTGAAGAACTTGCATATTTAGTCAACTRCAGTTTGAGATTTAATCTGCCTGCTGTTCATGTGTTAACTGACCTCATGGTGAGATTTCCTATAATAAAAGGACCATATTTACAGTTATCATAACATTTGCGTGAACAAAAGAATGTAAACAGGCTCAGTCGTGTCCGTGTTTTGAAGATGGCTGCTTTCATGCGTTCAAGACACACTGCTGTTAAAAAGCGTACATTTTCTGGCCTTGAATCCAGGGGGCTTAGCTTTTATTTATTTATTTATTTTTATTTATTTATTTATTTATTTGTACGATGACACTCCTGAAACAGTTCATTGATGTATAACCCTCAATGAAATATTGAAATAAGCAAAGAATAAATTCTGCCTCTGTGGCTGATTTGCTTTTTCTTCGTCTCTGCACACCTCATCCATCTGATACAGAGCTGTGGAGGGGAAAGGCTGTGAACAATTAATATCTTACCTGTCTTAGTTAATTCTTTAGACAGCCTTCAAAACAACTACTGGTACTAAAAAAAGCCTGTATCCATTACAGTAATGTTCTTTGACTGAATGGGTTAATATGTTTTCTTTAAATGAGGCTCAACATGTCATTATGCAGAAACAAGCTCCCCGTGCTTGAAGCTAAATGTGTCCCTTTTAATATATTCATCCATCAAACTGTACGTGTGACCTCCTGGACTCGAGCTGCATTAAAGACCATTAGTCATCACTTAGAGGTGATTAAATATTTCAGTGCTTTTATCATGCTGCAGGCTGTGGAACATATAGGTTGATGCATAATCCAATAGGAACGTTTGTCTCATAAAGAGAGTTTTAAACATTGCAAGGAAAAGATTTACCCTGCTGATTTAAGTGACACCACATTATGAAGTTTAAGGATAATTTTAATAGTTAAAAATATGGTTTTTGTGTTGTAAATTTTCTTAACTTCAGTTTAAATAGTAACGCTTCTTTTATTTTTTGGAATTGTCCTTTAAATGGACTGCGTCTCTAACTGAGCTTTCACTAACTAGGTATTAACTCAACCCATGATGTTTTTTAACATATGCTGAGGTCTGTTAATCTTCTTATGGGTTTGAAATTTTCCCTCTCTCCATCTCTGAATAGCTTAACAAAATATGTTCCGGTAATGGACGGTTATATCCTCATCCATCGCCCTCCTCCCTCCAACTATAACTTGAAATAGGCCATCAAGTGGCTAATGAACTGATAAGCCCTCTGTGTCCTGTGGGGCTTATGAACATCATAAGCCAAATGTTTGGGCATATTTGGTGAAACAGTTATTTTTTAAGAGCAGTAATGTGGCCGAAGGATCGGTGCTACAGCTGGCGAGCTATGGAAAGGCCTTCGTTGTGATTTTTTTTGCCACAGGTTGTAATAAATTTTGGCAGGTTTGGAAAGATATGATAAAGTAATTAGTCATTTTTTTAGAATATATCATAACTTGTGTGACTGTGTGGCCTCCACGCTTGAAGCTTCTAGTATCATTATCACGTCTGGATCTGTTTAAATCCATGGATTTGTCTGAGAAATTAAAATAACATGCCTTTTTACTGCGCTTACTTCAAATCTCTCTTTAAAAAACATCTAAATCTGTTGTTATGTGTTTCACAAAAGCCCWTTTAGTTTAATCTTTGACAAGATTATCAGTTTCATTGATGATGTCACAAATATGAAAAAAAAATAACATATATAAATGCTTTTTAATGCAGAGGATGAGCCTGGATAAACACTTTCTATGGAATACTACAAGATTTGTTTAAAATCTTATTTATTTTTATTGTATATTTTTTGCTTGTTAGCACATTGTACATATTGTTATACTGTTAATTTAAAATGTGTTTGTTTTGTTCTAAATCCATATTTAATTTTATTTAAAGCAGGTTATCATACATCAGACATTGTACTAATTTGGTTGAGAAGTTTAAACTATATTTGTTTTTAATTTCTATCAACTGTCCCACATTCGTGGACTGTTTTGATGTTTTGATGATTTTTGTTTATCTTTTTCAACTATTAATCTATTAAACTGGATTTATTTGCATGTTTATAAACAATACGTATTGCTTTTGCATTTTTTTTTAGTAAAAATAGTTGTTTTCAGGTTTCACCTGCAAACTTTTGCATAAAAATATGAATTATATGACCTGGTGTGGAACAAGAAGACTGTCCTATCAAATGTCTAATAAGTTATTACACTTTATTCAATGGGTAATAATGAACAATGAATGGGCATTCAAAAGGGCAATAATGAAATGTTTTTTTTAATGGTGGCCTGACTCAGCTTTTTTTTTTTTTCATTTGCAAATTATTGTCATTAATTAATACGTACATGTCAGGCGACCAATAGGGGAAAAAAAACGATCATAAACTAATTAAAGTTTTAGAATAAATGAAAATATTGCACTTAATTTTAAAACCTAAAG